ATAGACAAATCCACGAGGCCCATTAGGCATTTTTGGTTGTCCTAGCGGAGAAAACTAATGGTTTGTATTTTATATATCAACTAGTGAAACCACCTCACGGTCCGCTGTAACGGGTTTATGAAATATCCTCACGTGCCACCTGTCGTACCTTAATGTTTCTCTGAGTGAAACATTTTCTGAAGCGACAACAACAACTGTACCCAGCTTAATCACAATTGAACGATGGTCTTTAGTGACGTATGTCGACCGTATTGCGACGACGCCTGCCTTAGAACTAAGAAGTGCATTGAGTCCACTGCGCCGGATCTGATAAGGTTGCGCTAATGGCCTGCTGTAGAATGAATGTTGTCTTCCAGTTCATAAACGTCTTGGTCCCAATGATAAGGCGTCTGATGTACTTACTCGTATCGAGCGAGATAGTACAACACGTACTTAACTCATGTTTACGAAAGAAAAAACTTGCGTAAACATCAAGCACGCAAAAAGTTTAATTTGCGTAATAATTTGGGTGGAACGACAAACGAATAATTTCCACTCATCGAATGCTTTTTTTCGATAAGCCGATGGTCTAGTTGTTTTAAGTTGGGTTGAATGGTTGGGTCAGTAAAAAGGACAGATAGACTCAAGGGCTCAACCCAGTCGAAATATTCAGAATTTGAATACATGCAAGATTATTATGAAAATCTCAGTAACGCGATTCAGTTTTGACATCCCCTATTTAGTTTAGGATGCGCGTTTTATTTAATTAATTCGGCTTCTAGTTACTTAATGTCGGAATAGAAAAGAAGCCCTTACAGCTCCAACAAGCTTATCACTCCAAGAGACCTTGTTATAATTACATTTTATGTAAATTAAGCTTTAAAACTTCCAAAGTGCTAATTAATTGCTCATACAAATACAGATGTAAGGTCAAAATCCGGTTTAGGATACTTGTATAAAATGGAGAGCAAATGAGAGCAAATCATCATTCAATCTTCGTCAGATTGTGAGACAACACAAAGCACAACAATGTTCAAACAGGTTAGTACTTTTACTGTTACTAGGCGACACAAATGTACCACATATAATTGTAATAGTGTTTTTGTTAATTCTATGTTAGAAATATTATTACTGAGGCGGATTACAAATTTTTGTAAAATAAAAAATAACCAATATAACCAAACCGCGCAGCAGAGTTGCTGCGCAGCAGAAAATGGTTGAATTGTGACTCCTATCCGTGAGTGCTCGCATTACGCACTTTTACCAGTAAAGCCCTATTGGCAATCGCAGAGCGCTAGCTTCATTCACAAAGCATGGTGCTCTCCATTCTTCAACGAATTTCTTGGTCGCCTTCAATAAAAATAATGGAAAGAGATAATAAGGTGGTGCTATTCTAAACCGATACCACAAAGCCATATCGGTCTGTTGTTTTCCAGTCAGAGATACTGTTGATTATTGGTTGATTATTATTATTATTATTGGTAATTTTCAGATTCTTGTCGCCTTCGCCACATTGGCCATCGCTTATGGTAAGCCCGGCTTGGGACACTTCGGCTACTCCCCAGTTGCCAGCTATGCATCATACCTGCCTTCGACTTATGCCTACGGTGCCCCGGCCCTCGCCGCCCCAGCTGTAGCTCCAGTTCCAGCTCTGACCACCGCCGCCGTCGCTGCTCCAGCATACACCGCCCCTCTTGCATACTCTGCCTACTCACCAGCTGCCTACCCTCTGTCGTCCTACGCTCCCTACTCATACCCCAGCTACTACAATGGTTACTCTAGCTACGCTGGATACTCTCCCTTGACCTACAGCAGCTACTGGAACCCTGAATCCATCTACTACAAGCGCAAGTGAACTATTTAAAAATCGTCTCCGAGATTGAATCTATTTTGATATTATATTATAATAAATAAATATTTACTTTCTAACTTTTTTGTTTTCGTGGTTAACCATTTACAAAAAAAGAATAGATCTTTGAAGAATCAAAATAATAAAGAGCTTGTATTCTTCTCTGTAAATGAGAGTGAGTAGCCTTTGAGAAGCTATTTCTAAATCATTGGCTGTCCATTTAGCGTCGTATAAGGGAGATTAAAAATTTCACACAAAAATTAACATTTAGTTAAACTCATTCATCATCATAGTCCCACCCGCTCTTTGGATGTCTTGAGCCTTCTGTGCCCATTGTGAGCGATCATCTTTCACTATCATATGTCAAAACTGGCAACACATATTGGTCAGAAACTATCTCCTTGAGATACTGTGGTATTTGAGATGAGAAAATTTTGCCATGGGTCCCGAACGCTGCGCATCCCAACGGGATTGACTATTGATCTCTTTCTTAAAGACATACTATTCAACAGCGTCAAACATCGAGTTTCCGATTTTTAGAGTAGTAGAAATTACATGGGCGTTTGACATAATTTTGATCATTTCATGCAATACGTATATAACAGCATGATGATGATGATGTGTGCTGATGATGATAATAATGATGATAATGTACGGGTATTTAGGTTAACAAGTTTTCACCCAGTAGTTGAAGTTCCCTTACAATCAGTGGAATCTCAAGGCTTAGATTCATTTTGGGCACTTCATTTTCTGTTTAGTATTCCTATTGATATTTTTCTCGTAAAGGTGGATAATAATGATTCGCCTTCTTTATTGGTAACACTAAAACTCGTCAATAGCAAATAACAGAAAAAAAAAGACAGAAAGAAGACTAGAAAAAGGCTCTGAACTGTGTTGTTTTTGTCATTATCTATATATTAATACGTAAAGCAAAAACTTTGTATCCCTTTTTACGTAAAAGCCCGGACGGAGGAATATGAAATTTTCCACACTTATAGAGAATATAGAGAAGAACTGCACAATGCTAATATTTTTTTTAAATAATGCATAAAAGATACATTAAATCAATAAAGAAAACATTACACACACTACATACCATGTATTTGACGCACACACGCACGCATACTATTTATTGTCAAGCTTTTTGCCTTGGCGAAATTTGTGATTATAGAAGTATAAAATACAATCATACTAGTGTACAAACTTACAATTCCAATTAATTATAGTCGAATTTCGACTACTGCGGGACCTCTAGTTAATAGTAAATCTATAAGGCAAAGTGGAATTGGACGCTAGATTTCAATTCATTTTTCTTAGTCGAATACACCATTTTCCATATACTTAAAATTTGGCTTGTTCTACTGATTAATTTGCAGTCGAATAAAATTGCTTCTTACCATATTACGTCATGAACGCTTCAAGAATTAGTCCTAATTTATTCCAGAATTAATTCGAATCTAAAACACTCTTATTCCAAATCATACTTGACTAATGATGGGACAAATCTCAAAACAAAGGGCCCAAATAGCCACCCATTCTAATTCCCACAATATTTGCTCCTTAAATTCAATTATTCAATAGGTCTTCATTTGATAATTAGATGGTTTAAAAAAAAAGGTATTAAAGTGTCAATTCATATTACGTAACCACTAGTTTTTGCAAATCCATAAACCATTGTATAGACGAGCTATACGACTTCAATCGTATACTTATTAGATTAAACTATGTTACACAAATATCAAGCTACAGTCCTAAGACCTGTGATTCAACTTCCTAGTACACAACTTTCCTACAACTACATATTTTCCTTACTGACTACCTAACGCCCTGATGTTCAAGTCAATAGATTCTATCTTAAGTCATTATTGTTGGGCTTTTAGAGACCCGCGTCTCTGGCTAATGTCATATTTCTTAATTTGCTGTCAGGAAATCATACTCTACAGTTTCAACGCAGGGCAGCTGTTAAACAAATTTTTAAGAATTATTATAGTATTAATAGACAAATCCACGAAGCCCATTAGGCATTTTTGGTTGTCCTAGCGAAGAAAACTNATAGATTCTATCTTAAGTCATTATTGTTGGGCTTTTAGAGACCCGCGTCTCTGGCTAATGTCATATTTCTTAATTTGCTGTCAGGAAATCATACTCTACAGTTTCAACGCAGGGCAGCTGTTAAACAAATTTTTAAGAATTATTATAGTATTAATAGACAAATCCACGAAGCCCATTAGGCATTTTTGGTTGTCCTAGCGAAGAAAACTAATGGTTTGTATTTTATAATCAACTACTGAAACCTACTCACGCTCCGCTGTGACGGGCTTATGAGAAATCCTCACGCACCACCTGTTGTACCTAATGTTCCTCTGAGAGAAACATTTTCTGAAGCGCCAACAACAATTGTACCCAGCTTAATCACAATTGAACGATGGGCTTTAGTGACGTACGTCGACCGCATTGCGACGACGCCTGCCTTAGAACTAGGAAGTGCATTGAGTCCACTGCTATGGATTTGATAAGGCTGCGCTAATGGCTTGCTGTAGAATAAATGTTGTCTTCCAGTTCATAAACGTCTTGGTCCCAATGATAAGGCGTCTGATGTAGCTACTCGTATCGAGCGAGATAGTAAAATACATACATAACGTAATAAGCATCAAGCACGCAAAAAATTTCATTTGCGTAATAACTTGGGTGGAACGACAAACGAATGATTTCCACTGATCGAATGCTTTTTTTAAGTAAGCCGATGGTCTGGTTGTTTTAAGTTGGGTTGAATGGTCGGGTCAGTAAAAAGGACAGATAGAGTCAAGGGCTTAACCCAGTCGGAATGTTCAGAATTTAAATACATGCAAGATTATTATGAAAACTTCAGTAACGCGATTCAGGTTTCACATCCCCTATTTAGTTTAAGATGCACCTTTTATTTAATTAATTCGGCTTCTAGTTACTTAATGTCGGAATAGAAAAGAAACCCTTACAGCTCCAACAAGTTTATCACTCCAAGAGACCTTGTTATAATTACATTTTATGTAAATTAAGCTTTAAAACTTCCAAAGTGCTAATTAATTGTTCATACAAATACAGATGTAAGGTCGAAATCCGGTTTAGGATACTTGTATAAAATGGAGAACAAATGAGAGCAAATCATCATTCAATCTTCGTCAGATTGTGAGACAGCACAAAGCACAACAATGTTCAAACAGGTTAGTAATTTTACTGTTACTTGGCGACATAAATGTACGACATATAATTGTAATAGTGTTTTTGTTAGTTCTATGTTCGAAATATAATTACCGAGGCGGATTACAAATTTTTGTAAAATAAAAAATAACCAATATAACCAAACCGCGCAGCAGAGTTGTTGCGCAACAGCAATTGGTTGGATTGTGACTCCTATCCGTGAGTGCTCGCATTACGCACTTTTACCAGTAAAGCCCTATTGGCAATCGCAGAGCGCTAGCTTCATTCACAAAGCATGGTGCTCTCCATTCTTCAACGAATTTCTTGGTCGCCTTCAATAAAAATAATGGAAAGAGATAAGGTGGTGCTATTTTAAACCGATACCACAAAGCCATATCGGTCTGTTGTTTTCCAGTCAGAGGTACTGTTGATTATTGGTTGATTATTATTATTATTATTGGTAATTTTCAGATTCTTGTCGCCTTCGCCACATTGGCCATCGCTTATGGTAAGCCCGGCTTGGGACACTTCGGCTACTCCCCAGTTGCCAGCTACGCATCCTACCTGCCTTCGACTTATGCCTACGGTGCCCCGGCCCTCGCCGCCCCAGCTGTAGCTCCAGTTCGAGCTCTGACCACTGCCGCCGTTGCTGCTCCAGCATACACCGCCCCTCTTGCATACTCTGCTTACTCACCAGCTGCCTACCCTCTGTCGTCCTACGCTCCCTACTCATACCCCAGCTACTACAATGGTTACTCTAGCTACGCTGGATACTCTCCCTTGACCTATAGCAGCTACTGGAACCCTGAATCCATCTACTACAAGCGCAAGTGAACTATTTAAAAATCGTCTCCGAGATTGAATCTATTTTGATATTATATTATAATAAATAAATATTTACTTTCTAACTTTTTTGTTTTCGTGGTTAATCATTTACAAAAAAAGAATAGATCTTTCAATAATCAAAATAATAAAGAGCTTGTATTCTTCTCTGTAAATGAGAGTGAGTAGCCTTTGAGAAGCTATTTCTAAATCATTGGCTGCCCATTTAGCGTCGTATAAAAATTAACATTTAGTTAAACTCATTCATCATCATAGCTCTAGCCGTTACTCTTTGGGTGTCTTGATCCTTGTGAGCCCATTGTGAGCGATCACCTTTCACTATCATATGTCAAAACTGGCAACACATATTGGTCAGAAACTTTCACCTTGAGATACTGCGGTATTTGAGCTAAAAAGATTATGCTATGAGTTCTGAACGCTTTTCATCGCAACTGGATTGACTATTGATCTCTTTCTTTAAGACGTAGTCTTCAACAGCGTCAAACGTAGAGTTTCCGACACTACATGCTTACCTTTGTATATATAACAGCAGAATCTGTGTTAAATATAAAATTTTACATGTTTTAACGACATTGGGACCTAGCTAAGATTCAAAATTGACGAACGCTTTTTTGTGTTTTTTTTTATTGAAGAAAAACCTACGAAAAATATTCTTAGGCGACATCATAATATCTAAACACTGATCGAACATAAGTTGATGGCAAATTTATGTTTTGTCTCGGTATTCAAATCACTTGTGACTAATTTGTTTAGTTATATCTGGCTATACCTTTTAACATTTGCAAAGACGATAGAAAAAAGTAAGGCTTAAGACTCACGATTTGGTTAAATTAGCGCAGCTTCAAATTCCAACCATGAGTGAAAATAATTAATGTAAATATTTATTTAATTTTTATTATTTAATTACGTCCGATTTAAAATGTGTTAAACAAACAAAAAAATCTATGTTTAAACGTAATTTGTATGCCGTCGTACCCGGAGTAATCAGCATTCTTTGTCACATACGCTATATGAGTATTGTTTTAGTAAAAGGCAATGATGACTTACTATGGTTTTTTTTTATTTATTTTTTTATTGCCATTGTCTCATGGACGTCAGTAATGCCAGGAGATGAGCCAAGTCGCTGCCTTCCATATGTTATTGATTAAAAACTTTTATTTCAAAATAATTTAAAATATGTAATAAGAATACAAGAATCATGTGTACTCATCTCTACATTTTAACTGATTATAGATTCTTTTGTTTTCGCTGGAGCTATTCAAAAAGACCTTGGCAATACTATTGACAGAATCAATTCTTCTATTGAAATACCCATGTGTTTCTATGTGTTCCTTTAAAGTGGACCAAATATATAAAGTAGGACATTTTTCATGAATGTCAGTGCAAATCGTGTACAGTCGAACTTAGCAAGTGACAAAGTATCAAAATGTTTAAGGCGTTTTTGGTGAGTTGATTTTCTGTTTTTTTAGTTTTTAAATATGTTAAATATTATATTATGTGTACATACAATTATTCTAATCATAATTGAGTGAGAAAGCAAAGAGCGCACAAATAAACTTTATTATAATTTAAAAAAAAACATCAATCCAATTACAAAATAAATAATTTTATTAATATTTGTGTTTAGAAAATAAAATAAGAATAAGCGACTTTTATACATCGTAAATAACATTTTCGTTTTTAGGCTTAAATAATTTCGTCTTATAATGTTTTTCATTGGTTTTTTATGTAATCGATGAATTTACGGGATCTTTAGTATCATACAGTTTGCAATGCAATATTATTATAATCACCACAATAAGTTCAGCCATCTGATATAGCTGCGACGTCAAGTTTCCCATTTACTGGTAAAGAACAATTGAGGCCTATAAAATCAAAGGCAGCTAAATCCAAGCCTGTCAAATATTCAGGTAAACTACTAAAATTGGCCCTAAACACGTCATTACGGATCCTCGCGATCCATTGAAATACCGCTCTTTCTAGGGCCAGTGTTAGCAACATTCCCGGTTTGATAAGCTGAAATAACTTTGTTCGGATAGCTACGATATTCTTTATTTTAAAGCAGATTTATAAAGAATGAGAATATTACTAATAATCTGAATTTTAAATGATAAAACTTCGTTTATTAGTACTTAGTACAGAGTAAAAATGAAATTTTTGAACTGAATTTGTTAGAGATTTAGCTGCATTTGTTATAACATGAAAACACTAAATCGTGTCCAACTAACTAAACAAGATAGCGCCATTGTTAAACCATTTTACGACATTAAGGCGTTTAGCTGCCTTTGATTTTATAGGCCTCAATTGCACAAAGTTATAAAGAAAGAACCAACTTTCCTACCAAAATCACCGGAAAATCAATATCTTTCAGAGACAGAGGATTATACAATAGTAACTATAAGAATACAATTATTTAAATGGTAATTAATGTTGTAGTATTTCGTTCTAATTGATACCAGTTAACAACAGACAGACAGTTGCAGATAACTTTATTTGATATTTCTGGCAATAACCATAAAAAAGCTTTTTCAAGAACTCATAATTAAAAAGGTAATCAAAAAAAAAAGAACTCATTTTGTTCAAAGAAGAAGTATTCGAAGTCGAAAATCAAAAGTTTTTAAGACTGCACAAACGAACTTTAGCAAATTTAATTTCAATGTTAGTCTATATAATTTAAATAGGATATCAATCTGCTCTACATTATCTTATACGCTGACATTTGTAAATGTTATTGTATAATAAACTTCTTTGTATGCTCTATTGTAAAATAATTAGAAATCAACTATGCTATTTCTGACTACGTCGATTTACTTAAATTTAAAAGAAGTTTAGTCGCATGCTTTTATGTGGCCAATATAACTAAATTTTCCTAAAACTACAGGTGTACACTACTACACTATATACACAAGTGAAACTAACAACTAATTTTACTTATAATAAGCTATATTGTCAGATAAGGCCGCGATCCATCTAGTGTGTTCTAGTAATCACTTAACACTAGATGGATCGCGGCCTTATCTGACAATATAGCTTATTGAAGCCTCTGGTTATGGGAGCATCCATAGCGCTGAACGCCACCACTAAGACATGACAATGAAGTCTGTTCAACACTTCAAAACAGAACGCATACAGAAATAAATAGAATTATATAAAAATTACTCATTTTTTTCTCACACATTTCGTTTATTATTTCACATATATTTTATTCGTAAACAAAGACAGGCGATAGCTGTTAGTAATTAAACAAATTTTAAAATTCGATGAATGATCAGGAACGGTGAACTATTCGCAACTGAACTAATTAACGATGATTCAACAGATCACAATGCTGGCTCTCTTCGCCTGCGCGGCGGCCGACCCGTATGTGGTGCCTCTGCCGTACGCTGCAACTGCCGGCTACCCCCTTTCCTACGTTTCATCCTTATCAGTACCTACCGTCTACAGCTCTGCGTTCACCGGCTTCTACCCACAAATCGCATACGCAAATGATTATATCTTTCGTAAATAAAATGTTAAAGTAAATACATACATCTGGAACTTCTTCTGTTACGATAAATAAAATTTACTGTTGTTGGTTATTTGTGTTATTTTTTTATTGTACAACTAGCTGACCCGGCAGACTTCATAGTGCCTCAATCGAAAAATAAAAGACTTAAACTTTTGTATAAAATAAAATTAAAACGAACAAAAGTGGATTATTTTTGTCCGACGGGGACACATCAAAGGAAAAACAAAATTATTATTCTTATTTAATTCCGAGCATTTTCATATTTATCTACCTTTTAAACCTTCTCTGGACTTTCACAAATAATTCAAGACCAAAATTAGCCAAATCGGTCCAGCTGTTCTCGGGTTTTAGTGAAACTAACGAACAACAATTCATTTTTATATATATAGATTATAATTTTTCTTTAATTAATTAATTTAGCATTAATCTACTTTCAATTATGTAATTTAGGAATTAACTGGAATTTTTCGTAGCTCTTTGATCGAATCACGATTAAAAGACAACATAAAGGACATTATTGGTATTCAGTATGAATATTTATTTATGTTTTGAATTTAGAAGATCTTAAATTAAATGTCGTTAAATGCAAATGTTATCAGGTGATAAGGTATCCTGCCTCGTCAAACAGAATTGACAAGAGATGTTTCAAGGTTATTGACAACATTAAAATGAATTAAAAGGTTAGCGATTATAAAGTTAGGAAATAGTCTAGTTGCTGCTATAGCGGGAAGATGGGGAGGTAAATGTTGCAGTCCGAGATGACTGGCGACGGATATTCCTAATTTTATTAAAACTCTTTAATTAAAACGAAGGGCAAGAAATAACGCATTTAAAAAAAACCTATTTTTCATGCTTTTTTTTTTATTATTTCTTTCACAAATTCGATTACCTCTCGCTTAATCTATCTATGTTCGTGATTGCGGAAGTTACAAAGAGTAGGTGTCAGACACTAACATTCGTGTTTACACGTCTAGTTTTTTTTTTTTTGTATTCTCTTGTTCACATTTATTTTTTTGGCGCTTTAATTTTCTTTTGTTTACGACTATGCCATTTTTAATCCTTCAGAATCAAAGCCTCCTAACAAATAGGTTTATAATAAGTGTCAAACTTAAAACGATTATTCTAAATTATAGGTATTTCATGCTTAAAATTCATGTGGAGAAATGTACACCGTGTTTTTTTTTTATATTTTTTTTAGTATCACAATACAGTTCAGTAATATCTTAAATACATAACTGCGTATTTTTATATGACTTGCATTCGAAAAATTAAAATAACAGAATTTGTTGGTGGTTACCCTGTATCATCTGTATATAAGTATCTAGATTAGATCTCACGAATCTTAATGTCAATTTGGGTATAAAATAAATAAAATGAGGACACGATTTAATCGTAGTACTTACTATTTTTAACACAATTGAATGTGAGTTATAGGGTTGCGACAATTTCATGGAAAATATCGATTAAATCTCTCTAAGTTGGA